AAACCAAATGCACATTTGGCCCCGATTACGAGCCAATTAGTTGAAGGATCGTGTCAGCTTCCTACGAACCATCGGGTATGTCTACCTTTGGGGAGAGGGCGGTGAGAGGAGGATGGTGTTATAAGATATGAGAGAGAGAACCAGTTGAACAAGGGAAGAGAATAAGATTGGATCAATATAACGCACCTCGTAGGATTCATAGCTTAGCGCTGTAAAAGTGCAATAAGAAGAATCCTCCAGCTACCTTCAGCTATAGTGGAAAGGCAGAATTCATCGCCCTCTAGACTGGAAACAGTTATCACTATTGAATGGTGGATGGCGCCTGTAGTCGCCGCACATAAAGAATTTAGTTCTGACGATATAGATTGGTATCACATTGTGACGAACTAGGACTCAACGGAGGAACGGAGGACTTGGAGCTCTGACTCACAGAGTAGGTGACATAAAATATAAAGCTCTCAAAAAGAGGCTTCTTCTCCTTTTCATTTTCTCCTTTCATGACAGTTATTCCTGCGTTGCAAATCATCATGAAAGCGAGAAATTGAATCACTAAATAGGAGCTATGCCCATCGAAAAGTGATATATAATCTCCGTCTAGAAATAGTTGGGAGTTTAGTACGGGATAGTAGCGGAGCGAGAAGCGCTCTGCTATAATTTTATATAGAAGACGGCATAGTAGATAGTAAGAAAGATGAGAAATTGTTTAGCTTTCGCGATATACCCCTTTGTACATACAATGTGTATATTCAACATTTTGTATAGTTACAGTAGTTATACGATTAGTAATCTAGCCCTTCAAGCACTTATAATATCTGTCGGTGATTCGTATATACCATGTGCACAGGTGTACTGCATATGCTGTGCTCTGTGGCAAGGTATAAGAAGATTGGGTAAGGCAGCCGGTGTCAAGATTGTCCACATATTTTATGATGAAACATGCCTTGTTCTCCTGCGCAGTACGTAGGGAGATTAGTAAGATCTACACAACCGTTTGCATCTGAATGGCGGCAGAACAGGCGAAGAGGGCTGAGGTGTGATTTTTGACGTCACTCCAGTACTGGACTCTTCACGAATGTATGCACAAAGTTATGGGGGATCATAAGGTATCCTTTTATACCCTCTTTCAATTATTATTTATTTTGTGTTTTCCCGAAACTTCCCTTTTCTTCGGGCACTGGGCTACTGTGTAGCTGAACCATATATTCATGGGGTAGACATTCAGGTTCTAGCTAACAATTACAGACAGTACATTCAGTCAGGTCTTCATTTACATCAGACAAAGCAAATCTAAAATCTTTACCTTGTACTAAGGATGTAATGATTTTTTGTGAAAAATTTTCCCGCCACCAGTGTTTCACTCAGCTTCATTGGGTGGACCCCTTCCAGGGTCACGACCCTCGACTGGCATTGGAGAGAAAGACCCTGTCATGGTCCAGTAGTGTGTTCCTGGTAATCACAATGTATTGTTGGTGTTATCCGTGTTACCAACCTAATTAGGTACTGTATCGTACTTTCAAGTTCTGGTTCACCCCTGCGGTCCATACCGACCGGGGCTTCAGAGAGATTACCTCATCGGAAGGGGATCAACACATATAATTGACTTGGTATAAGAATTTGACTGCTTCATCAATGTCTTGGGTTACACCAAGCAATCATCGCCCAGCCTGACTAAAGTCCTCACGATACTTCATGAGACAGCAAAAAAGAGGCCAAGGAATTTCGGCCCCACCAGTCAAGAATCACAAGCAATTATTGGCAGGTAACAAGAAACAGAGCCAAGGTCGGGACCGGATGTAATACAACGTACGACGGGTGATACAGGGCCAGAGAACCACCATGACCAATTAAGGGTCAGTCTCCAGCGGCTAGTTTCAGGGCCCACTTGTACTAGTTGGGCTACCCTGGAGTTAAAGGGTCTAGTCAATGGGCAAAGGAAAAGTATGTACCGAATCCGAGTGCCCCGAGTATTCTTAGCATTTCGAGGCATGCATGAACAGAGTGGATGAATGACTAGTACTACAGAACTTGTTCCCTTTGATCCACTGGAATTTGTGGCCTTGGTCACAGAAGTATGAAGATGATACAGGAGTGATGTGACATGGGATGGACACCAGTTGCCATGATTCATGCGGTGGGTTTTTGCTCAATATTTTGATGCTGATCATTATTATTACGTCGTTGCCTGTGTATTACAACAAACAAGGAACCAAACAGGCCAAACAGGGCGATTGATTCTATTCTAAGTAAGACACAGACTAACCTCAGGCTCCTCTCGGGCCCCCCCCTTTCCCACTCTCCTGCCCATTCTTCCTTTCTCGCCTCCTCGCCTCCTGCTATTTCTTGTTCCTTATTCTTCCCTATCACTTCCTTCCCTCGTTACATACCTCTTTTGATTTTTATTTTATTTCCCGCAATTCCATTCCACGGCTTCGTGTGTCAGCCGTCAGTCACTCGTTGTAGTATATATCCTCGTCTAGACTTTCTCAATCCACTCCCCGATTCGTTTCCCATTAATTCGACCTGATATCACTGGGCCCGCAGATCAAGTTGATCGATCCCTCGTTGTCTTCCACTGCAGATCTTTAACTGTCGTCGTTGCGGCTGGTATACGTTTGAACGACTGTCAATAGACTCATCATGAAGGCCGCATTCGCCCTTGCCGGGGCTTCCCTCGTGGGCAGTGTCCTGGCGACCCTGCCTGCCATTGAGACGAAGGTACTTGAATACTGTGGCTGTCGCGGTCGCTTCCATCACTGACTTGAGAAATTCTGCTGTAGGGTAACAAATTCTTCTATTCCAACAACGGCACTGAATTGTAAGTGGGAAACTCCAACGCGCTCAAAGGATCAATGAGATAGCGAAACTAACATGCCATTAGCTTCATCCGTGGTGTTGCCTATCAGCGTATGTTCCATGCCGGGAAAATCTCGGGTCAAGTCAGTCGGATTGGGAACTAATGTTGATCTATAGAGGAATATTCTTCCAATGGCACCAGCAGCTCCAGCACCGGCTTCGGTAACGAATCCAACGGCGACTACACTGATCCTCTGTCCGACCCCAAGAAGTGCGAGCGTGATATCCCTTACCTGAAGGAACTGCGGACCAACGTCATCCGTACCTATGCCGTTGACCCCAAGGCCGACCACACTGAGTGCATGAAGATGCTTGACGACGCTGGCATCTACCTTATCACCGATCTGTCCTCCCCTTCGGAGTCAATCATCCGTAATGACCCTAAGTGGGACGTGGACTTGTACTCCCGCTACACTAGCGTTGTCGATGCCTTCGCCAACTACACCAATGTTATTGGTTTCTTTGCCGGTAACGAAGTCGCCAACGACAAGAACAACACCGACTCCATCGCGTTCGTCAAGGCCGCTGTGCGTGACATGAAGAAGTACATCAAGGCCAAGAAGTACCGTGAATCCCTGCTCATCGGTTACGCCACCGATGACGACGCTAGCATCCGTGATGACCTGAAGAACTACCTCGTTTGCGGTGAGAGCGACGCCATGATCGACATGTTCGGTTACAACATCTACGAATGGTGCGGCGATTCGTCCTTCGAGACCTCTGGTTACAAGGAGCGCACTGAGGAATTCAAGGATTTCCCTGTCCCGGCATTTTTCTCCGAGTATGGATGCAACAACCCTAAGCCTCGCAAGTTCACCGACACCCCTGTCCTGTACGGCGACAAGATGAACGACGTCTGGAGCGGTGGTATCGTCTACATGTACTTCCAGGAGGCCAACGACTATGGATTGGTGAAGGTCGATGGTGACAGTGTCAAGCCTCGCGATGACTTCACCAACCTCTCTAAGCAAATCCAAAAGGCCACTGCCACTGGCGTCAACAGCGCCAGCTACACTGCCAAGGCTGCTGCTACGGCATCCTGCCCCGCGGTTGGCAAGGACTGGGAAGCTACCAGTGAGCTCCCTCCTTCTCCTAACCCGGACCTGTGCTCCTGCATGGTTGAGTCTTTGTCTTGCGCCGTTAAGGATTCCGTCAAGGAAGACGACTATGAGGACCTGTTCAACTACATTTGCGCCAAGGACGGAATGTGCGATGGAATCCACAAGGACGGCACCAAGGGCAAGTACGGAGCGTACAGTGTGTGCTCTCCCAAGCAGCAGCTCTCTTTCGTCATGAACCAGTGGTACGAGAAGAGCTCCAACAAAGACCAAGCCTGTGACTTCAATGGTTCGGGTAAAACCCAGAGCGCCTCCAAGAGCAATGGCCAGTGCTCTGAGCTGTTGAAGCAGGCCGGTGCCGCTGGTACTGGCAGTGTCACTGCCTCTCCCACTGCCGGAAGTGCTGCCGCTGGTAGCACCTCTTCTTCCACCTCCAGCTCCGACAGCGCTGCCGGTGCTGTGAGCCCGATGGCCGTCCAGGTTGGCAGCTGGCAGTTCGGAGCTTACATCATGACTGCCTTTGTTGCCGGTGCTGGAATGCTCCTGCTGTAAAGTAGTAACATGTATATGGGCTCAAGAATGTTAGGAGAACAGTGAAGTGAGACCTGGGGGGTTTTTGTTGGGGTGTATTCATCCAGTGATTTTGGGAATCTTAAGACGTACATACTTTAGCCAATCGCTCAATCGTTCATTCCTTTGAATATATATTCTCACAATTGCCTGTTCAATTGGTGTAACTGTACTCACGTATACCGTATGCTACGAAGATATTTAGGTTCCAGTTGTAGATTGTATGTTTGAGTCACATCCTAACGTCGGTTCGCTCTGCCGACTCGGTGCTGTACTCCGAACTTCGACAGCTAGCGGTGTCTTATCTCGGCCACACAAACGGCATGCCGAAACATAGCGGAAAATAATCCGGATCTATATATATTTATAGCTATCAGCTGCCCAGTAACTTTGTTCTTTATTCTATCCACTCTTATTTGTTCTAATTCTGTTCTAAGTTTGTCCTAAGTTGGGAATCGCCGTGAGAATTTGCTTGTACAGACCAACGGTTAAGATCGAACCCTAATTCCATGGCCGGCCATGGGTGAACCCGACCTAGAATCTCAGACCCCCAAAAAGATAGACAGGGTCGCAGAAAAGGAAGAGAAAGCTACCAAGGTGGAAAGGGGCTACGGTCTTCCCTTTTGGCGAAAATGTATCATTCTCTTCGTCGTCAGTTGGATGACACTTGCTGTTACCTTCTCCAGCACATCTCTTCTTCCTGCAACCCCCGAGATCGCCGAGGAGTTCAACACCACAACCGAGACTCTCAACATTACTAATGCCGGCGTTTTGCTGGCCATGGGCTTCTCGTCGCTTATCTGGGGTCCGTTGAACAATTTAATTGGCAGAAGGATCTCGTATAATATTGCGATCTTCATGCTTTGTGTCTGTTCGGCGGCGACGGGGGCTGCTGTAGATATGAAGATGTTTACAGCGTTTCGAGTCTTGAGCGGTTTGACAGGAACGTCATTCATGGTTTCAGGACAGACCATTCTGGCGGACATTTTCGAACCGGTACTTCCCCACCACCTTTCCTTATCCTCCTGTGTACTGTGGTGGGAATCGTCGTTAGTTCAGTGTTAATAATGCCTAACAGGTCGTCCGTGGCACAGCCGTAGGATTCTTTATGGCTGGATCGGTCTCCGGTCCTGCGATTGGACCCTGTATTGGAGGCCTCATCGTCACTTTCTCCAGCTGGCGTAATATCTACTGGCTCCAAGTCGGCATGACAGGACTCGGCCTGGTCCTGTCCATCGTCTTCGTCCCCGAAATCAAACAAGAGTCCAAAGAGGACCCCGAAGAAAAGAGAAGAGGACCGTACTCTCAGCCCTACGCCTCTTCAACCCCCTCCGAATCTTCAGACAATGGGTCTATCCCAACGTCTTCTTCTCCGTAAGCCCTTG